TATTACAGCTGCAACAACCACCACCTACACGTACCTCCCTCACCATCAGGATCACAAGCGGACACCCGCGAAAAACGCGAATTCTACAATTTAACTGCACCGTACTCCAGAGTAAGATCGAGAAGATAGTTGCATTTATGAGCCGGGAACGCGTATCGATAGCTGCGGTCCAAGAAACCAAGTTAAACAGCCGCTCAGATCTTCTGAGTTGTGCAAGTTTCAACATTTTGCGTAAGGATCGCGAGCGAGATAATGGTGGAGGCCTAGCCTTCATACTGCACAACACCGTGCAATATCGTTCAATCGATGGCGACATCGACCGCAGGGACACTACACTTGAATGTCAGGGTAAAGCTGTCCGGACAGGCGACGTCGAGCTCGAGATATTCAATTCAATATACCACCAGTTACATGTTGCCCAACTGGATATCACCCGAACATAGGTGCTCTACCTCGTGGTGAAAATCGTTTGGTGCTAGGCGAATTTAACGCTCACCACGATCTTTGATTGACGATTCGACATTCTGCACAATGAAAGGCGAAGCCGCCATCAGAATTATGCATGCAGCAGCACCTGTAATTGCTCGCAAGATATTATATTACCATCGCTAGCAGTGATCTGATAAAAAGCATGACCTGGCGACCTATGCTAACTCTCGCATCAGACCATCTGCCCATAATTATCTCGATGGAGAAACCGATGAAGAGATATGACGACCGAGTTGTAATTCAATTCGATAGCCATGCCTCCTCGGACCCGAAGAAGTGCGCGAAATATTTTAGCCGGCAGTTTACACTGCACCCTTCGAACCACAAGGCCAAATGATGTGTTACCCGACGACTGCGCACCACTCTCACCGATGGGGAGGTTCAGAGTGTCATCAAAAAGGCCAAATCGTCAAAGTCCATTGGCCATGACGGAATAAGCACGCTGATGCTAAAACATCTAGGCTCGACGGAAGTAAGCTACCTCACTAAGGTCCTCAACTTGTCGATGTCCACTCTTCAAATACCCGATGTGTGGAAAGTCGGAAGAGTGGTCCCACTACTGGAACCTGGGAAACCCGCCAACAAAGGGGAGTCCTATCGCCCGATAAGTCCCCTTTCCTCAGTAGTGAAGACACTTGAGGCCTTGCTACTCCCGATATTCACTCACCACCTGAGTCTAGCAGACCATCAACATGGTTTCCGAAAAGTGCACAGCACTTAACGTCATAAACGCCCAGATAATTCATGACCTAAACCAGAAGCCAGCCTGTGAGAGGACGATGCTCGTAGCGTTGGACTTGTGAAAAGCTCCTGACACAGTCAATCACGCAACGCTACTTGAAGACCTTGAACAATCAACGCTCCCTCCAGGGCTGAAGCGGTCTACTACGAACTACCTGAGCGGTCACAATCATCCCTGCAGTTGTCTGCTTGAAGCGGAATTGCCTCTTAGGAACATCAAGAGGTCATTCCTTATTACGTCGACGAGTTCCGACAGTACGCTGACCGGACTTCGGACGCAACGAACTATAGACAAGTACTGACCGCCATTCACAGTGGAGCCATTAACACCTTCATCAACTCCCTCTCAGTGTATGAAGCTAAACCAGAGCGACCCTCGCGCAACTTCGGATATTGTAGAAGGTTAAACTCCTACTTATCCAGAATAGACCCCGACATTCCAAACATATGTCCTGGGTGCAATGAGGCTCCGCATGATACTAACCACCTCTTTGCATGCCCAACAAACCCAACTCATCTAACACCCTTTTCCCTATGGGCCGACCCCGTCGAAAAAGCTTGTTTCGTGGGCCTCCCGTTAGATGACCTCGACGGCAACCAAGCCATTACTTACCATCCAAGCGGGGACTGGATAACCGTTTCAACAACAACAACAACAGCCTAGTTGTAGATGAGCTTCTGGATTTGTTAACTTCAAATGGCATTAGCTACCAAGGATACACGTATTACATTGTAGTTATTGCAAAAGGAAAGGTTGAGAGCACATTATGTGGCATTATTTAATAAAATTAGGGGGTGTAAACATTAGACTTAACATAAGTCCATCAAAGGCTGTCATCATTCTATTCACAAAAAAAAGAACTCCTCCATCCCTGAGAGCCCTAACACTTAATTGAGTCGAAATGGCTAATGCTAAGAAAATATTTGATGCTGGTACTAGATTCAAAACTTAGGTGGAAAAAGCACGTTGCGACAAGCCACAAATTTACGATAGCAAAAGCCACAAAGGCGTTAGTCATGATAGTCAGATTAATGGCCACACATTGAACGGCCTCATGGCTTTCAAGACTTCACTTACAACTGTTGAGAAACAGCTGACGAAATATTCAAACTGTCACTGAACAATAAAAGTGAATGGGAAGACTCCATCCGCGAGGAGTACCTTTGTAGGAGAACAATTCTTTCACATTCTGCTGGCAGCTCATGACTCTGTGGCAAGATCGGCATGGCGCTACTGTTGGTGGAGTTCACAGGATATCACATTTCAGGGGGTAGGGGTAGTCAGAATTTTCAAACACTCCATATATTACCATTCCTTAAAGTATAATATATTAGAAATATGCTCCACATACAGACTTTTGAAAACATGACAAACTATTACCTGATCGAGGGAGTTTTTTTTTGTTTAATTTCGATTTACTATAAACAATTAACTGTTGATTTATTCCCGAAAATCTGGAAAAAATTTCCTAAGGCTGCCATTTTGGTAATTAAACAAAAAAATACGATCAGACACTACCCTACAAGACGGAGGTAACCAATTCACTACTACATTTGTAAAGTTTCATGTCTTAGACCACTACGTAACCACATCTAATTTTTTGTTGTTAAACATCTATGAAACTTGAAAGTTGAATGTTTAGGAAAGAGATGCACACATGGACAAAGAATCTGTCAAAAACTGCCGCCATTGAATCTGCCATTTGTAGAAAAATTGGAAGAGCGTCAGGTAAGTCGTGAACTTTTCTAAATTGTTAATTTTCATTATTATTTATTAAATTAATGTCAAAAAAGAAGCAAACGAAGCCCATTGTGATAAAACATAAATGATAATAATTTTACATTGAGCTTGTTTCTACATACATACATATATGAAAAGTTTTTAGTTAGGAACAAATTTGTTAAGTATGGGTATGTTAAAATTTGTATAAAAGAATATTCTATATATTATCTTTATTTGTATACTAGGCGACCTCCGCTGCGCTCCGGGACGCTCGCTTCGCTCCCTCGCCTACGTCCGCCCACCGCCGAGCGCGAGCTAGCTCGCTCTTATGTTAATTGGTTCTCGACAGCAGCAGAAAACTTTTATATATAATATCTATATTTCTTGTGTGATTGTATATGTCACTGAACTCCTCCTAGACGGCTGAACCGATTTCGATGACATTTTATGTGTGAGTTCAAGGGGATTCGAGGATGGTTTAGATTCACAATTTAGTCCACTGGAAAATGTGTATTCAACTAATTTTTCATTTATAAGTAGTTGTTAATTTTGGAATGTTTTACATTGGAACCGGTAGACTGCATTACCATCGCAGATGTTAAAACGTTTTACATAGAATTCCGGCAGACAGACTTTTCTCTTGGCTAATTTTACGTTGCATGCTCGAGAGTAGGACTTCAAAGATTAACCAAAAACATTGTACATCCTATGGAATTCCGATAACTTCAGTTTTTGTAGATAATTAACTCTAAGAATAAATACCCGTTATAGAATAGATTCAACCTTTTCACAATCAATTAAAACGAGTTCAAGTTTTCATTCAATATAACTTCTACAATTAACATCTCTGAAAGCATTCTAATATAGATATTGATACGCTATCGATTGGTCGGATTGTGATAAATATATGTAATTAACGTTAGATATTGTAATAAGTTTCTAATAAAAGTTTTTATCAAAACGGTCTAATTGTTACAGCTAATTTTAAAAAGTTTACATTTAAGACGTTCTAGTATACTACTATATTTTGAATCTCTTTAGGTTTTTTGGATTGCGAGTTGATTGGACTGCAGTTTAATTCAACTAGGATCGGCTTTAAAAAACCGTCCCAAGACTTCGTAGATAAAATGGATATGTGCAGATTGAGGAGGTCCAGATCAAGAATATTTTTCGACATATTTGTATTTAAAGTTGATATTTTCAATCATTTAAAGCACGTTTTTTTCGATTTAAAATTAATTATACACTTATATTTATCTCTTTTATATCCACTAACACTTGTACACATTTGTTTTACATTATATAGTGCAAAGATAGCTTTAATACATAGTTAAACTTATTGTGCAATTCTATTAATTAAAAATGACAAATAATCAGTGTTACCATACTAACATATGTTGCAAACCCCAAATACAGGAATCAATGCCTAATCGATGGTTACATCGACCGCAAGGATACTACCCTAGAATGTCAGGGTATAGCTATCCGGTCAGGCCATGTCGAGCTGGATGCGCTACATTGTTATGAAAACCGTTTGGTGCTAGGCGACTTTAACGCGCATCTTTGGTACTCCTGCCTATCAAACGATCGTAGGAAGATAGAGCTGGGGGAAAATAGAGACGATTCGACATGACGAAACACATATCAGAATAATGGGCACCTGTAATAGCAAGCTAGGTATTACCATCGCTAGCGTTGGTCTGATAAATAGCATAACCTTGCGACCTATGCTAACTCTCGCATCAGATCATCTGCCCATAATTATCCCGACTTTATTTCTATGGACAACCGCACCTTTGGTAACTTTAGCCAAGCAAACTGGCTTCACAGAATTTACCGAAAGCACCTTCACCGCACTACCCTTTCTTATGAACGTCATCGTTGGCGAGCGTCAATTCCACAAGGTAATCGCTGCTGCTACTGCTCGCTTCATACCAGCTGGAAGAATCCCAATTTCCCAGCCGAATTAGCAAACGAGCGCGACACCTTACGCCATTACGATCCCTGCGATCCCCGAATAAGGGATTTCAATTTGGTAACTCGGCAAATGGTAAATCAGCAAACGCGGCCTAAATGGATAGAGCACCTGAAGTCCTGTAAAGTAAACTGCTACCTCTCCGACATTTCTCGTTTCTTCTCTGCAAGGAGTCTGACACTCTCCCTCACTAAATCCACAGCGACCATATTCATAAACTGGACGAAGGAGTACAGGCTAGATCTGAACATTTCAGTCGATGGCACAAAAATTCCGAAAGTCAATAACCCTAAAACTTTAGGGGTTACATTTAACAGTCTGTGCTCCTTCACTCCTCATACGACCGCGATAACTGCCAAAGTACAGAGCCACAACAAAGAAACGTTGTTGGCAATATACAAGGCAATCGGCCGGCCGGTCCTAAACTATGCATCACCAATATGGTCGCCTAGATGTAGTGCAACGCAGACGAAGAAGCTTCAGACTTGTCAGAACACTGCACTCCGGACTATCACGGAGTGCCTCTTGGTGTCCCCAATAGAACACCTGTACAGTGAGGCCCTTATGCTTCCGGTTAAGGAACATAACGAGCTCCTATCCAAGCAGTTTCCGCTGGGGTGTTTTCGTAGACCGCCTCCTAGGAACATCAAGAGGTCATTCCTAGATTACGTCGACGACATCCGACAGTACGCCGACCGGACTTCGGACGCAACGAACTATAGACAAGCACTGACCGCCATTCACAGTGGAGCCATTAACACTTTCATCGGCTCCCTCTCAGTGAATGGCGTACTAGGAGGCAAACCACCTCCCATAGCAGACGTAGAGCTCGAGTTGCCTCGCGAAACCAGAGTGACTCTCGCACAACTTCCTTCTGGATATTTATTTATTTTATTTTTTTATTTATAACATAATTTTTCTTGGATTTCGATGTTTTTAGTAATCTATTTCGCCTCAGGGTAAGACCAGCAGGGGCGAGTTCAAAACTGCTTAGGATCTCATGAGCATCAGTGATGTTATTGACTAAGTTGTAGAAAAAGCAGAGGTCAGCGACAGAATTTACGCTGCACCTTTTCAACTTTATCGATTGTCGTGTTAGTGTAGGGAGTGAAGCCAGGATTCCGAAATACATATAACGTCGTACTGGTTAGCCGCTAATGCTGTTTGAAATGTTGAGAGTTTTGTACGCAGACCTCTGACGTTGTGGTAGCACAGGTGGACGTAAGATACTTTCTTCTTGCTCGTTGAGCGAACGAAAATTTCTTTTAAGGATTCTTGGGACACCATGGATATATTTAATTGTGTTACTGTCATCACCACTCTTCACGATTGAATCAAGCTCTTGACGCAAATTTTTCAGATAAAGTTGTTGAGAGGGAGTTAGATCAGTCTTGAAAATAAAACCTGAGTTTTCGTCTGTTGGTCTGTATTTGATAATGGAAAGCTGCTGAGCGGGTGGTAATGTGAAGAGGACGTGTACGTCCAGGTGTAGGACGACCCAGTCTACGTAACTTGAGTTCAGTGGCCTCATCCTTGAGACTGGGAGGCAAAGCTGTGACTAACTTTGTTCTGTCAATCTCTAAACGGTCCTTTCCAGCAGCTTTATCAGACTCAGGAATATTTAGGGAAATCTCGTTGGTTTCACGGCGTTTTCGTTCCGACTGTTCAGTGAAAAACTCTTCCTGGCTGGTAGGCAGCCTCATATCTACGTTTAGCTTGTCTTCAACTGATGTAAGTTTGTCATCCAGGGTAGAACATTGATTTGATAGCGAGACGCTTTGTTCTGACAGTTTGCTTACCTCTTTTCTTAAGTCCTTGATTTCACTTAGAACTGATTTTTTTAGGTCCCTGAACTCACGTTCATAATTTGGTGTAAAACGTTCAAAGTGTCTCTTGAGTAAGGTTTCAATATCCTTTGACGGTGGCGGATCATCTGATGCATCCTCATCGGAAACCAAAACATCACATGTCTTAACACTAATGTCACGTGCACATGAGTCACAGTTCCAAACTGTTCCTTTTTTCTTAATGCTGTTGGCGATGGATTTAAACTCATCGGATGAAAGGTTGGTGCACTTTGAGTGAAACCAACGTCGACAAGCCGCACATTGAATACTTGGCTGCGTTTTATCCCGGATTATGTCTGAGCAATAACCACAAATCTGTTGTGTTGTATTTACTTTTTTGGGTGGCATTTTGTAAGTACACGATACAGGAAAAAAGATATGTTCCAAATAATTCCGGAGTAATTTTTTATTTTCGTGTATTATCAATGCATTCATTCACTCTATGATGTCTAATTCACAATCAATGTTAATGTTTGTTATGCTTTTTATTATTACACCTCACAATATTACGTCGCACACACCTTTCTTTGTTGTACGAAATTCAATTATGGTTCAATATCAAAATTTTATCGAACTTTTCTTTGTACATCCTTTATATTTTCTTATAAGAATTATTATTACCTTTTAAGGAAACTTATATGAGGCATTTATTTAATATTCTTTCACTTTTATATATACGATTGATGTAATATTTTCAGATATTACGGAGCACGTTTCACTATGCACACTGCACATGTTTACAGCTACCTAACCTAGCAGGTTAACCTCCTACTTATCCAGAATAGACCCCGACATTCCAAATATGTCCTGCATGCAATTAGTCTTCGCATGACACTAACCACCTCTTTGCATGCCCAACGAACCCCACTCATCTAACACCCATTTCCCTATGGTCCGACCCCGTCGAAACAGCGTGTTTCCTGAACCTCCCGTTAGATGACCTCGACGACAACCAAACTATAACATATCACCCAAGTAGAGACTAGGTAACCGTTACAACAACAAAAGGCCCGTATGCTTCCGGTTAAGGAACACAACAAGTTCCTACCCAAACAGTTTCTCTTGGGATGCTGTCGCAGAAACCACCCGTGCAGTCGTCTGCTTTAAGCGCAACCGCCTCCCAGGAACATCATGAGGTCCTTCCTTCATTACGTCGACGATATTGAACAGTACACCGACCAGACTTCAGACGCAACAAACTTTAGATAAGCACTGACCGCCATTTACAGTGGAGCTTTTAACACACTCGCCGACTCCCTCTCAGTGAATGGCGTACTTAAAGTCAATCCACCACCCATCGCTGACGGAGAGCTCGAGTTGCTACGGGAATCTAGAGTGACCCTTGCGCAACTTTGTTCTTGGTACTGTAGCAGGTTAAACTCCTACCTATCCAGAATCGACCCCGACATACCAAATATATGTTCAGCATGCAATGAGTCTCCGCATGACATTAATCACCTGTTTGCATGCCCAACATACTTTCTCCGTTAGATGGCGTCGCCGACAAATAAACCGAAATTTACCACCCAAGCGGGGATTAGATAACCGTTGCACCAACAAGAACATAATCTTCAACAACACTACCCTGCTCTAGCACTTAGTTGAAAAGGAAATAAATACAAAGCAATATATAGCAATATGCATATAGTAATTGTTTCTTTTAAACTTTTTTCACGTTCGGTTTTGTATTATGTTTTTACCAGAATTTTTTTTTTAACTCCTTCTAAACATATGTTTTTTTTATGTTGTTATTTTTTACGTTCTGTTTTCACCACAATTTTTTTGTAACTCCTTCTTCATATGTTTTTTTTATTTTGTTCATTAAACTGATTACTGACAAATCCCCGTTGTTCGTTATTTAAGGTACTCAATGTAAAAAATTTGCTGTTTGCTATGTTATAAGCGGTTTTCCTTAAAACGATCATTCGTTATTTCGGAAGACTTTGGTATATAAGTATGAATGATTTAATCATAGCTGGCCAATATTGTATATTTCTATATTGAATATCTACATATACTTTATTTATTGGAATTTTTATTAAAAATTGATTCCTCTGGTTTATTTTAGCACAAAGTTGAAAGTGAAGGATTTCTTCAAAGTAACCCAAAATCTTTTGTTTGGTAAGAAAATGTTATCAGCTGATAATTTTATTTATAGGTAACCCATGTTAACAATTTGTTTGGTTACCAAAGCGGTGTTAGGGTAACCAAACAATATGTCACGGGAAGTAAGCAATGTTAAAATTTCTAAACAATTTTTGACGTTTCTTAACTTGTAGCCAAAGTAACAACCGTAGATAACATACCTATGTAAAGTACCATGTTAAATATTGTCGCCCTCAACTTATGAGTTGTGTACAAACTTGCATGCATTTGTTTTAAAAATATAAGGTAGATACTTTGCTTTAACAAATACAAAAGAAAATAATGTTTAATTATTTTTTATTCATTTTAGATATTTGCAAAGTTCTCAAGCTGGACTTCAATATCACCATATTAGTTTTTAAGTCATAAAATTTAAGTTACTTGTTAGTAATAAGTACTAAATTAATTATTTTAATATATTACTGTTTAATTAGGGTACATGTATGTACCTAATGTGTGAATATTAACAATTGGTAAATTAATGTAACTATTATTATAAACTCCTAGAATACCCCGGCAAGCCTTGCTGTGGCTAAGGTATAATTAAATTATATTGAGTAAAATGTTATTATTAAAACTAATTTCACAATTTTTTTCTGTCTATATAGCTCGATTACCGAGCCAGTTATGATTTGAATAATTATTTTGTGCGACTGGGAAAATACGGGAAATTAATTAATTTTGTCCGTGTACAATAGTGCTAAAATTGGCTGGAAGTTTAGGGCATTTCGTATGTGGTTGCAGTTAGTATATGAAATCTAACTTCTATTCTAAAATCTAACTCATAGTATACATATTTTATTATTATTAAATACTTACGTTAAAATGAAATCATCACTGGTATTATTAATATTACCGTCAAAGTCGGTACATTTTATTGTGGCGAGTAATTTTCAAAAATTAGTAAATTAGTGCGATAGAATTTTATTAAGTAACCACATTTTCGAACAAACGATGCTCTTTCAATATAGTCTATGGCTGTGTCATCGTAGACATTCGTTACGCGCGTTTTTTAAAATATGCAAAATTAAATGTATTTTTTCAATTTTTCTGAGACATTTTCTTAATATTTTTTCCATAAGAACCTTCTGCAGAGTATAAGAAAACTAAAAAAAAACAACAACAGCCAAATCAGTCCATCCGTTGTCAAGTTATGGCGTGACAACGGGAAACGGGTTTCATTTTTGTATATATAGATAGATATATAGAAGTTTAAATTTCAATATTAACTATTTATTAACCATTAAGAGGTTTTAACCAATAAAATTATGGTAATTTATTTATTTAGTTCAATAATGTGGTATATATATAAATCTTGTGTAAAAAAGTTATTGTAAGGAAATTAAGATTGTAATGAATATATGTATAAATGCTAATATTTGAAATTTACTCTAAAATAATCATTTGTAAAATTTTAAAAGTTATTGAAAGAAGTAAATGTAGTTTTTAATATTCTGTTTACATATAAACATGCATATAGATGCCAATAATTAAAAGCTAAACTAAAGCTTGTAAAAATAGAACCATAATGCAAATTATAAAAAAAAAACGAATGAGAATTTCAATTGTTTCAATGAAAAGGAAAAAGGTAACCGAGACGTTAGGCAGTGGTAACCAATGAATAACCAAGCAAATAACCTATAGAGGAACGGACCCGGATTTTTCTCGACAAAATTATGTCGCTACAACAACAACAACTACGACGTAACCGCCGTTCCCACGACAGTCGGGTCTACGTAACCGGAACGGACCCGGATTTATTCCGGCCAAGGACTGTCAACTCGGCAGAATTCTGCCGCTACAACAACAACAACAACAA